ATGTCAATAGGCTTGGAATGAATTTTTCTGTATGAAACTGTGTGTTTTGACAATGAAGAGGAGATCTTTTTTAAACATTGGAACCTAATTTAATTTTATCTCTTAGAGAGTTTATAATGAGTATAAGATTTTATAAGTGTAATAATTCATCTGTAAACCTAGAAATGTACAGCCAATTTTGAAAGAGATGTACCCTAGCTCAGAAAAATGTTATTGAATAGGTTAATGCTGTTGTAATGAAATGCTTCTTTTAATTAAAATAAATAATAATAATAATAATATAACCAAAAAAAAAAGATCAGTCTAAGCTGGGCGTGGTGGCGCATGCCTTTAGCCCCAGCACTTGGGGGGTGGAGGCAGGTAGCAAGGCCAGCCAGACCTATATAGCAAGTTTCAGGCCAGCCAGGCTGAGACCCAGACTCAAAAAAGACAGCTGAATGGAACCTGAAACAGCCATGAGACAACAAGCGTACAAACATGGACACAGAGAGACTGAAGAGAAAGCTAAAGGCACAGAGAACAATTGAACAAAAAATGGGCTGCCTCCCTGAACTTGATAGACGTCTGAACCAACAGTCTCACAGACTGTAAGGAGAATAAACATAAAATGGTCTACGAAAATATAATCAGTCATAAGACAAAATAGGAATCTTGAAAGCCACAATAGAGAGTGATTCATGACGCACGAGGGATTTGTGTAAATTTCAGCACTCAGTTTCTCAGTAGAAACGATGGAGGACAGAAGTTAGTGTGGTGACAAAGTGCTGAAAGCAGAAAGCACTGCCAGACAGTTCTAAGTCCTTAAGAAATGGAGAAGTTGAGATGCTGTGGGATAAGCAAATGCCAAGGGAATTTTGGTAGCAGAACTGCTTACAGTGAATGCTAAGGGGAGTCTTTGAGGTAGAAATGGGATGACAGCGGACGGTAATGAACCATTCAGGGAGATGAGGAAGTGAAAAAGCCTGGAATTTTTCTAATTCCCTTTTAATAATACAACTTAAGAGAGATGCATGAAACAATAATTAGATTAAGTTAATAGGCATACACTATGTAAGGATAGAACTTTTTACATGTATGAATGTTTTGCCTCCGTGTATGCAAATACACCTGAGTCATGCAATGCCCAAAGAGGCCAGAAGAGGGCATCAGATCCCGTGGAACTAGAGTTACAGATGGTTGTTAGCCCCTGGGAACTGAACCTAGGTCCTCTGCAAGAGCATCCTATGCTCTTAACCACTTATTATTCATCACTCCAAATCCAATGATAGAACTTTTTAAAACAACAGAATAATTGCAATGTTGCATAAAGAGAGTTTTAATGTGCTGTTGAAGTAAAATGGTATTCATTAAGAAATTTAATTTTTAAAATTTGGTTGTAATCTCTAAGGTGTCCACTAAAAAAAAACTAAAAACTTAAAGATGAAAAAAGAATGGAATAAAAATAGGACACTACCAAAGATCAATTAAACATAAACTTAGTGATTGAGGATTTGAAAAACAGGATAAAGAGAATACAAATATCAAAAACGCTAACAAATCTTTCCATTAGTAATTACTTTAAATATAAATTAATTATGCTTTCTTATTGAAAGGTAGAAGCTGGCAAAATGAATTAAAAGAAAAACAAAATGGTCCACATACATGCTCTCTATAAGAGACTTGATCTGATGATACAAATATATGCAACAGTGTGCAAATAATAGCCAAAAGGAAGCTGAGATGGCTGGACTAGTATTTGAGAGAAGATTTATTGAAAATTTTGTAAGAAACAAAAAACATTATATTTTAATCAAATGCTCAACTCATAAAGAAAATACAAGTTAAGAGCATAAAAATAACAAGAGCCCCAGAACACATGTAGCAAAAATGGATGCAGTTGAAGAGAACAATAGTTCTACATTAACAATTACAATATTCCTCTTCCAGTAAAACTGACAGAATAGATAGACAGAAGATCAATAGAAAAATGCTAAATTTGGATAACAGTGTGAAGCGCCTGGAGAGGATCGGGGCTGTGACTCATTAATGGAATACTTGCCTAGCATGTGTGAGGATCAGGCTTCAGCACCACAAAAATAAAGATAAGAAACGAACTAGACACAACACTCTACCCTAAACAAGGAAATTAGAGAATATTTTTTGAAAAATGAAAATATACCAAAATTTATGGAATTGGTTAAAGCAGTGCTTAGGGGACAGTAACTAGATAATTTAAAAAGGTCTCAAATTAGCAACCTAATTTTACATTGTAAGGAGCTAAAGTAGCTTAAATCCAATACTAGCAGAAGGATGGAACTAATAGAATGAACAGAATAGAAAAAAGTAAAAGAAAAAAAACTCAACAAAACCTGGTACTCTGCATAGATGAAAAATTTGACAAATTTGCTAGGCTGACTAATAGAAGGGAGCAAAGGATCAATTACAAATGTGCAAGTGGAAC